GCCCCGCCCGGCCTCTGCTCTGGCCCCACGGTCCAGCCCCCGCCCGCTGCCGCCTAAGCGCTCCGCGAAGGATACTGTCCCTGCTCCAGTAAACGGCTCCTCCGGGCCCAGCGGCCACATCCGCCATCTTGAAACAACCGCCACTCCCAGAGTACCCCCGCCGCCCCCAGAGCTCGCAGCCCATTGGCTCCCCGACCCCAGCTTGGTCCTGCTACAGCCGAGCGGAGCCAAGACACGGGCGAGTCTGTGCTGTTACCCGGAAGAGCGACGCCTTCTGGGAGCTGTATTTCTCCCTACGTTCTGGCCCAGGGAAAGCCGCTCTCAGGGAACTCCAAATCCCAGGAGGCACCGCTCCCAACAGCCCGTCCGTCACCTAGGAAGGAAACTACAGCTCCCAGAGTTCCTCGCTGCGCAGCCTCCGGTACAGGGCGCGAGCGGGGACAAAATCAGCCTCATTCCCCTCTCTCTGTCTAGGGGTTGAGCTGGGCAAGGGGCGTGCCGAGGATGGAGGACAAGCCCTACAGCAGCCTCAAGCCCTCTATGGACAGGCTCACCCTGGGGGTCATCCGGATATTAGGTGAGCGAGGGACCGGCCGAGGGCCCAGAGCAGGCCTGGGTCGCCGCGTTGGCATGGAAACGGCCCAGGCGCGTTGGCAGGGAAACGGTGGCCGGGCTGGCATGGAAGTAGCCCTGCCCTGGTGGCAACCACCTGGGGGTTGGTGGTGGGACTCACAGGCTGCCTACAAGCTCCATGGCAGATCCATGGGCACATCCCACCTGCCAGCCACGATACCCACAACCTCTTATTATCGGGGTCTAGCAAAACCCCGCTGGGACCGGGGGGAGGGATAGCTCAGTGGTTTGAGCATTGGCCTGCTAAACCCAGGGTTGTGAGTTCAATCCTTGAGGGGGCCACTTAGGGATCTGGGGCAAAAATCTGTCTGGGGATTGGTCCTGCTTTGAGCAGGGGGTGGGACTAGATACCTCCTGAGGTCCCTTCCAACCCTGATATTCTATGATTCTATGACCCATAGCAACAGATGGGCCCTGCCCCTGCGAGCTCACGCTGACTTACATGCCTTACGTTTTAAACCCGAGAGCGGCCAGCACTAAATGCCCTTAACTCCCAGTGCAAGGCTGTGGCCAAAAAAAAGCTAATGTCATCCTGGGATGAACAAAGAGTGGGATCTCAAAGTGGAGTAGAGAAGTTATTCTACCTCTGCTGCAATACCGTGTCCAGTTCTGGTGCCCACAATTCAAGAAGGGATGTTGATAAATTGGAGAGGGGTCAGAAGAGCCATGAGAATCATTCGCGGATTGGAAAACCTGTCTTATAGTGAGAGACTCAAAGAGGTCAACCTGTTTAGCTTAACCTTCTCTTTAAGGGGTGACTTGATCACAGTTTGTAAGAACCTGTGTGGGGAACAGATATTTGATAATGGGCTCTTTATTCTAGCAAAGGAAGGTGTGACGTGATCCAATGACTGGAAGTTAAAGCTAGACAAATTCAGACTGTAAATTTTTAGCAGTAAGGGTAACTAACCACTGGAATCATTTACTGGGGTTCTAATAGACTATCCATCACTGGAAATCTTTAAATCAAGATTGGATTTTCTAAAAGCTATGCTCTAGTTCAAATAGGAATTAATTCAGTGAAGTTGTTATACCAATAGAATAAAAACCAGCAGCATCTTATTAAGAGGGATAAGGCAAAGATGCCACATTTATTGTGATTATAATTG